CGAGGCCTACACATGCTAGGCAAATGCTCCACCACTGAGAAGCTACATCCCTCATCCCGATGCCTCTAGTTTTGCAAGCATGTTAGCTTTTTCAAGTTTTAACAATTACTTACCAATAATTATTTCAGCAGCATTGATCAAAACAGGTGCAAATCTTGGCTGAGACAGATTCCTACAAAATAAATTTATTTAATGAAATTTGCACTCATTGTTCTACCAGTTCTCAACAAAGATCAAACTAAAAGTGTCTCTCACTGGGTGATAAAGAAGGACTTGAGATGCAAAATACAGACTTCACAAACATGAAACATACCTTATCAAGAAATTAAGAACACGACTAATTTCCTTTTCATCCCGACCTGCAAGTGCATTTGCAAGGACTCCTCTTCGATTTAGCTCCTTTATGATGGAAACTGTAACTTCAGGGGTCTTTATTATACAACTAGGCTAGAAAAATGTTCAAAGTCAACATAAGCAGAAAATAACATAAGGAAAAATATTACTGTCTTTCACTAAAATACCACAGTTCCAAGTCATGGTAATGCACAAACCAAGTACTAACCTAATTCTTTAAAAAATTTAGCATGGCAACAGCCCAAATGCCTATCAACTGGTGACTGGATAAATAAATGTGCTTTTTTAATAAAATGAAGTATTACTCAGCCATAAAGAATGATAAGAGACATTTACAGCTAAATGGATGCACAATGAGGCCATACTCTAAGTGAAATTAGGACACACGTGTAAATACTGAATAGTTTCTCTGGTTTGAGAACCTGAAAATATAAATGAGGACCAAAATGTGTAATAGATAATGTGAAATAGGAAGAAGTCCAAAGAGGAGGGGGAAGGGGAAGCGGGGTGGTGGTGGTAGAGAAAAGGAAAGAAGGGAAAAGAAAAATTATGATAAAAGGAAAAAACAGAAACAAGTCTTTGTAAATAGGGAGGGTCACAGGGGTTGAAGGAAGAGCAGGGGAATAGGGAAGAAATAAGCACCAAGGTATATTATGTAAAGGAACAAATTCCCAATGATGAACGTCATCATACTGTATACCTAAAATGTACCAATCAACTTAATTTTTAAAAAAAATGCTTTTCACTCACCTCAAGAACTCTATCAAGTGCCTTAGAGATCCTAAAATTTTTCAGATCTCTGTCATACAATTCTAGGTATTTCTTTGTTGGCTTGTTGATCACAATGTCATCCTGTATTGAGAAGTAAATTTATAGAGGAAGAAAATCAGTTATTTACAAAGTTCCATTCAAAACAAACTTTCTCATAATGAAGTGATACTTTAAAAACTCAGGGTCTTAAGGGGATTTAGCTCAGTGGTGCCACTGCCTACCTTAGACCAGAGTAAGATCCCCCATACCAAAAAGAAAAACAAAAAAAAAAAACACTCTAAAAACTCAGGGTGCCTCTACAGTACATCACAGATAATGTTCATATGCTCATAATCTAGATTAATTGAAAACAGAATAATTTGCCATTTTACTCTTACGATTTTTCAACTTACACAACTGCCTCAATGCTAAGCAAAACATACTCATTTCAACTTTTTTTATACAGCAGGCAATGTGTTTTAGTATAAAGAGAAATAAAACAAGAATCAGAAATACTAAACCAATCAAAATTTCCTTGTATCTCAATTTTCTCAAATGCCAAATGGAGACTTTACTGGCCGGGTGTTTTTGAAGATTCAATCAGATACTGTGTAAAACATTGTTTTGAATGTGGTAAAGCACTGTATTGTTATGCTATATTCAGGGTTATAAATAAAGTGTCCCTTGCTCTGCATTATTCTTCAATTATGGCCTCACTCTAGCAATCCATAGCCAATTCTGATAAAACAAAGAGGGAAATAAAGTTAAATATCACATGAACTATACTTCTCAGTAATGGGCAGGGATGAATGGCTACTCTAAGAAATGTCACCTTTAAAAAAAATATGAGCAACACACACCCGTTGCTTCATGTAATTTTTTCCTTTAATAAACGTTCGGTATGTAGGCCTCCTTCTCCTTGGAAGAGATTCCTTCTTTGCTTCAGATTTCCGATGTTTAACACTCAGAATTCCATTGGTCATTCCAACCACTATAGTCTCATCTTCATGCTAACAATTAGAAAAATAAGTTACTCTATTCCTAACTAATAGCTTATAGTATCTTTACTTCAAATTAACAGTTATGCTGTATTCAGATAATCACCAACAGTTCCATTCAGGGATTTAGCTCAGTGGTTCCGGCACCTGCCTTGCAAGTGCAAGGACCCGAGTTCCATCCATAGTACCCACCCCCACAAAAAAAATCAAATCTGCTCTGTTTAACAATGTTCTATGCAAAATGCTACAGTAAAGTCATTTTTTTTTCTTGTAGGATACCATTATATTGACAGAAGTTTTACTTGTAAACTATCACTGACAAAATCTATATAATGCTACAATAGTTAATGGCATCTTGAGAATTTTTCAGAATAATTTTTCTCCATCCTCTTATTTAAAAAGTACTATACGTGATGACTTTCTAAATAATCTTTCTCCCGCAAAATATTTCTTCATTAGTTTTTCCTCTTCTGGTTCAGATTTCTACATAACATATTCAAATATCCACCTACACAAATGTGGCTCCTTGTGAAACACAATAGTACAGATTTTGGAAAAAAGTTCACGAGGGAGCTATTTCATTTTGTTACGCCTTCCTCACTCCACCTGTGTGTGTGTGCAATCAAGTGAATCAACTTGCCTTTCTAAAATATTATCACCTTTGAGTTAAATGAGTTAATTACTACGTCACACCCAGCAATCATCTTAACTCAAACAGCTAATTTAAATACGAAAATAAACCCTAAAATTCCAATTTACTTTCACGTAACAGGCAAGGTAAGTGTTAACCTTAAAAAGAACTAAAAGTACTTACTGAAAGTGCAAGACTCAAAATTGAAGCTGCATAATCAAAACTGTGGACTACTTTGTAGGAAGTTGTGCTATATATTTTCACCTTCCTATTAAAAAAGAAAGTGGTATCAAAAATCATTTGCAGATTCTGTTTTTTAACAGAAAAGTGAAAACAATAAAGTAATATTGAAAAGTATTTCATCACTGAACCCCTTAAAAATTGAACTGTACTACAACACTAATCAGGTTTGAATAGACTTTGACTTGTCCATTATAAAGAACCAAAGGACAAACCAGGAATCACTGTCATCGGAAGAAAAAACTTGGGAGGAAGAGAAGTATCAATGATTGCACACTGACTGAAGTCAAGAGAGCAAGGTCTCATGCCCAGCCCTATAGGTACTTTGGTCCAGGGCACACCATGTTGGCAGGGCTCTTCTGCCCACTGTAGGACACTTAGCAGCTTCCCTGGCCTCTACCCCAACACAACAATAGCATCAACTCCCCCCCAAAAAAATGTCTCCAGGTACACTGGAGGTTCCCTGGGGACAAAAATCACTTCGGGTTGAAAACGACTATAAAGAGAACCAATTTGTATTTGTTTTTTAAGGAGACATCTAAAAAGATCAAGTACCAAGTTGCACAAACACTATTTCAGAAAATTATATGTATTTACATAATATATTCCTTTGGATTAAACATTTTCTAACTTTTAAAATACTTATAATACATGATAAAAACTAAGCCCTTTTCTAACTAGGCAAAAAACAATAAGAAAATATGGAAATAAAATGATTAACAATTGACGAATACAAGTAAACTCTACACCCATGCCATACTGCTAGATACATATGGCTACTGAACCCTCGAAAGGAGCTACTGAAAATGAGCAACTACATTTATTTTCATTAATTTAAAAATTGAAGTATTAAGCCGGGCGTGGTGGCGCCCACCTGTAATCCCAGCACTTGGGAGGCTGAGGCAGGAGGATCACTGTGAGTTTGAGACCAGCCTGGGCTGCATAGTGAGTTCCAGGTCAGTTTCAACTACATAGTAAGACCCTGTCTCAAAAAACCAACAAAACAAAACAAAACAAAATAAAAATTGAAGTATTGATTATAAGATACTATTGTATCCCAGTTTGTTTAAAGTGTTTCTAGTATCTCAATTTTGCAATGATTACATACTGAAACAATCTATGTATTTTATTTTTATAGTACATATTATACTGAGTTAACCTTTTTTTCCCCCCTTTGAGACAGGGTCTCACTATGTAGTTGAGGCTGACCTGGAACTCACTACGTAGCCCAGGCTGGTCTCGACCTGGCAGCGATCCTCCTGCCTCAGTCTCCCGGGTGCTGGGATTACACAGGCGTACGCCACCATGCCTGGCATATTGAGTTAACCTTTTTAACGTGGCTACTAAAACATTTAAAATTACATATGTAGCTCATAGTATATTTCTACTGGGAAGAACTGTTAGAGAACATAACAAATGGAATACTAAGTACCTATTTAAAATACCCTACCAATGTACAGAAATGTTCACACGAAAGTTTTAAATTTTAAATAATATAAAATAAATATATCATATATTAATGTATTTTTCTATTATGAGTATACTCAAAATAAAAATTTCAAAACATCGAATATTTAATCACCAATATTGATAACTTTCTTTCTCAAGCAGTAAACACCTAAACACTGATGACTCACAAAGAAAATTAAAATGCTAACCTATCCAGTGAACCAGAAAGTAACCTCTGTCCAGAGCTGCTCAGACATAAACATGTCACAGTTTTGTGATGGTTTTTCAGAGATACGAGCAACTGTCCTCCTTTTAACATGTCCCAGACTTTAACATAACGACCTCCTATAAAAAGAAATAGCATTAGTTTGATAATCCACCCATATATTCAAAATTTTATAGACCCAAAAAGTATTCTTTGCTGACATTCCACAGATCAGAGGAAAAGTGGGCAATTCCACAGCCAGACTACCTGGTTTGAATATCGGCTCTACTGCTTACTGACTGTGTGACTGACAGTATATTAACAGTTCCTACCTCACAGAGATGATTAAATACTTTCTTATTTTTAGATGCAAAGAACTGCCTAGCAAAATAAAAAGTATAAGTAAAAACATTTCTAGGAAATGCTAATAAAACCCTTGTTTAAAAAAAATTCTGAATAACCACGGAAATGAATAATGTAGATCGCGTTTCCTAAGTATTTTGTGAATACCAACAAAACTCATAAACTTTCCTATAATTTTATTCTAAGAATTGGAAACATCTTTCCTTAGCAGTAATTTAACCCAATGATCTAAAAAGAACTTTAAAAACTCAGCATCTTCTTTCATCAAAGTATCAAGCAGAAGTTTAGAAGAGAAAAATGGGTGGGATGGGGGAATAATGAAGTTCTTATATACCGTCCTCTGACCAGGGAACAGGGAACTGAAATCACGATCCCCATCTTCCCATTCCCTGTGGCAGCCTATGACAAGAATTATACTTTGAAACCACTAATCTGGTACAACCTCTCATTTTTAAGGTCTAGAAACACTGACCAAAGTCACACAACTAGTGGCACAGTAGAAATTAGCATACAGCTTTCTGTTTTCTTTGTTCAATTTGGCCTTATTTCCATTTCTCAAAATAACAGCAAGAAAACAGAAAAAGCCAAAAAGAAAGACTACATACACTACCATATATATAGTACCTACACATTCTTGTAATACCAACACATTTTTGCTTCGACAAATGAGAAAAAACAAATAATTTATTCCATGATTATGAAAATGTTCTGTGCTAAAATTAACCAAAAAAATCCTGTTGCAACTGGATGAAAATTATCAAGCCCCTTTTCTACCAAGAGTCACAAAGAAAGAGATTAAGTCTGATCTAAAAGAACCCATTGCAAAGGCAGCTGAAAATTTCTTAGGACAGTGGTAGTGAACCTACGGGAAGCATGCAACAGCTGGCTGGTTATTTGTATCACTGAAAGCTCTAAAAGGTTCACAATCACTGTCTTAGGAATAAGAGTACACAGTACATAATGTAAGATCTCAAGTTCTGAGATTTCAGACTTGTCATATCAATTTGCTCTGAACAAATTAGAAATTTTCATTTATTTTCTTAGTTGTAAAATAGGGAGAAAATCAACTCTTTAGGACATTAGAGATAATATGTATACAATAGCACAGCACCATATATGGTGGTACAGACCCTCAATCCCAGCACTCAGAAGGCCTATGAAAGGAGTTCACAAACTCAAGGGCAACATGGGCTGCACAGAAAGTTACAGGCTAGCTTGGGTTATACAGAGAGATCTTGTTTCAAAATCCTCTCCAACTAAAAAAAAAAAAAAAAAAAAAAAAAAAGATTAGGTATTCCATACACTCAATAAATGACAACTACTTGTCTGTCCCACTATCAACTGTTTGTGCAGGAACTTAGAAATGTAATTCAAGTGCATACTGATGAATCATAATATTTAAGGTTTATATTTGTTATAAATAATTGACAACAAAAAATCAGATTCAAAACCAACAATATTGGTAAAAGCTATTTTCATAAGAAATACCTGAAGACACCAGAAGACCTCCAGAGGGGAAAAGCAGGACACTCTCCACTGGCTGCCCATGCTCAACAGACAGAATACTCTTACTTGTTCGTGCATCAAACATCTTCACAGTATGATCATATGACCCTAAAACATCAATTTTTGTATTAACGTAGTGAATCTGGCTGCATATATATGTATATATATATTCAGAAAGACCCAGCGCTTCCAAACCCTTTGCTATTAAGGATTTTTGTTTGTTTTTTGCTATCCTGGGGATCAGACTCAAAGCCTGGCAAATACAGTAGGCAAGTGTTCTACCTCTAAGCTACACTCTACCCCTACTGACAATTTTTGAAGATGCACTATACAATACTATGCAGAATCCATCTTGTTTTGATTTAAATTATTCCTATCTGAAAACTATAGTCATGGTAGTGTCATCTAGGAACCTTTATGCAGGCAACCAGAAAAACTTAGACTGTGTAGTGCCCCGGGTGCTAGAGACTTTCTGAAAACCAGTGTACTAAACTCACTGCCATTCAGACAGTCTGCTATGTTTTCAAGACACTCCGATATTTCCAAAGACATTCACAGGACAGTTAGAACAACCATTAAAAAAAATAAAAAGAGCCAGGCGTGGTGGTGCACACCTGTAATCCCAGCACTCGGGAGGCTGACAGGAGGATCGCTGTGCGCTCAAGACCAGCCTGAGCTACATATTGAGTTCTAGGTCAGTCTCAACTATACAGGAGACCCTGTCTCAAAATACCAAAAAAAAAAAAAAAAAAAAAAAAAAAAAAAAGTGGCATCAATAATACAAAACCTATTCTTATTTCAGCTGTGACCTTAGAGCTATTAAAAAAAAAACAAACTTCTCAATCCCAAAAGAATCCCATAGCAATTAAGTGCAAAGAATTCACCAACCTGTTACAAAGAGATCTGGGTTCAGCTTGCTAGCACATCCACACCGCACATAATCAGAATGTTCTTTGAATGTCATAACTTCTTTGGTGTTTGGTATATCCCATAATTTAACAGAATAATCATCAGCCCCAGAGACCACATGGTATTTATCAGCTGTAAAATCTACTGTATGAACTGCTCTGAAAAATCAAGTGTCAGTATATTAAAAAGCAAGAAAAAAAGATATTTCTTGTATCTTCTAACATAACAATGCTTTTGGCCTAGATTTAAAAAACTGCAGTTCGGAGAATATTTATAGAAGAAAAAGAAAACCTTTGAAACAGGTACTCGCTAAGTCAATTTAAAAATGTAATACCATTATACTATTAAGTTAGTACAAATGCTAAGCAGTAGCCTTGAGTTGTATTTTCTAATTAATAACTCTTAATAACTTAGCCTCTTAATAAAAATGAATGTTCTAAACGTAGGAGCAAAGGTACTTTAATTTTGTTTGAATTTCAAAAAGTTCTTTAAAAAATTCTAAAAAGATTTGTCGGTGACTAAGAGCATGTTAGGCAAATTCTGTTATGTTTTAAGTGATTAAGAATATCCTGATGGTATACAATAAAAAATATACTTTTGAGATTTTTAAATCAATAGATTTCAGTATAGGCACTGATGATCATGAAACAAAGTTACAGTATAAAATTATGATAATCATTCAATTTATCAAGGGGCAAAGTACCACAAATTCAAGAAGAAAACTTCCACCTGAGAGCCTCCAAGATAGTCCTGGCCTATAGTCCACTCACCAATAGCTGTAAGATTGCTTCTACACCAGTGACTCACAAATTCAACTGGGCCACAGACCCCACTGAGATGTTAATGAATGTTATGGAACATTTCTCCATCTAAGCACACATTTCCTAAAATATCACACACATTTTAGAGAATTCATGAGCCCCAAGAACCAGACCATCAAACCCAAACAAAGTTCTCTCATCTTCTGATAGGTAATCCTCACAAACTGCCATAATTTTATTCAAAGACCAGAGACAGAGCTTTCAATAAAACAAAACCACATAAAAAAGCAACTATATGCTTTGTATGCTTACTTTGTATGACCTTCAAACTGTCTGAGGGGAGCCCTCCCACTTATATCAAAGAGCTGAACTCCACCATCTTCACTGCCAGCCACAAGCAATTTACCATCCTGTCGAAAAGTAGCACAGTATGCTGTGTCTTTAAACCTGGAAAATGTTTTGATAGGTTCTTGAGAGTATCTGCCATAAATGTGAATCTATAAGATAGAAAACATTATTTCATCAAATTGATCAAGCTGAGTAATAAATTACATATATTAAAAAATTTTTAAATTATCATTGTACTTACTCTTGAAGAAGCTGTGACTGCATAGTTATATGGAGGCTGAGGGGAAAAGTCTACTTTTGACACTGCACCAAATTCTTTAATCTGAACAGGAGTCTTAATGAGAAAGAATGTAGAGCATTAACAGAGTTACAACTGGGAAGATTTATTTAAGCATTATATTAATTTCTTACCAGTCATTTCTTTTCTTAGTAACATTTATTAGTTTATATTCTACAGACATACAGAAGCAGCAAAAAAGATCCCTCTCCCATCACCCACCCTTTTTTTTTTTTTTTTTTGGTACCAGCAATCGAACTCAGGACCTCTTGCATGCGAGGCAGGCAAGAGAACCACTGAGCTAAATCCCTTGCCCAACCTACCCTATTTCAGTTGCCATTAAAGTTAATAAACATGTGGCCAGAAAAGCCACACCTTATGCCCTAAGTTCAGCGGTAAGTTTACTGCAGTACTTCCCACCAAAGTTATACACTTATGTCTTTAAATGAAAACGAAGATGATCATACCATGTAGGCAGTTCTATCTTTTCATTTTTGTATTAAATAACCCATTTTAGCCAACTTTTCATATTAGCAATAGATTTAACACCCTTTAGAAAGACAACATTATTCACTATCCTAGCCCACTAGTAATGAATGGAATCAAATTTTTTGAGAATTCTTGTACTACATATAATACTTCAATTAAAATCTTTATATAATATTTTTAGCAAACTTTTAGAAGTATACTTATTAGTATGTTCCAAGATGTGAGACTACCAAGCAAAAAAGTACATGATTTAAAAATCATAATAGATGTGAAAGTGACCTCCAAAAATGGGCACGTCTCCCTCCCCCAATTAGCAGTGACTTCTCAAAATTTTTCATTTGTTCAGAAGATGAACAGTACCTGATTTCTCTTAACTTACACTTAAAAAATTTTTATAATTTGTTTTTTTGAGTGAAACTGAGACTGTTTTAATATATTTATAAGCCATTTATATTTCTTTTTCCATAAACCTCTTAATTACATACTTATTGCAGTTTTCTATTTTGCCTTTTGTTTTTCTGGTAGTGGGGATTGAACTCAGGGACCTCATACTTCGTGAATGATATGCCCAGCCTTTAAAAAAAATTTTTTTTGCAACAGGGTCTTGCTAAGTCCCTAAGTTGCCCAAACTGAGCTTAAATTTATAATCCTCTTGACTCAGCCTCCTAGAGTGCTGGGATTACAGGTACTTACTAACATGGCTGGATTAGTTTTTCAGTTAAAAAAAAAACAAAAAAACAAACTCCAAACAAACACTAATTTCACAGCACTTTTTCTTAAAAAAAAAAAACCTTCTTGCATACGAGATTAAAATTCTAAAATTCAAGTCATTTGACACTGATTAGTCATGTGCTCTGTGCTAAGTACTTGTATGTCTAAAATGATTAAGTGGCACAGACTTTTATAAAATCCAAGAAAACACAGCTAACTGCCTAAACTATAAGCTGCTCACAGTTTTTAATTAATATTTCTTTTGGGTTTTTAGAGACAGAGTCTCACTATGCAGTTCAGGCTGATGGAGATCCTTTCCTGAGGGCTGGGATTACAGGCATGTGTTACCATACTCTGCTTTATTTAGTATTTCTGTTAAGCATAACCAAAGTATAACAATGCTGGAGGAAGTGGCATAAATGAATAAATGCATATATCCCTTCCTCCTTCCTTGTCTCACATACTTACCTTATAGTTGTTCCAGTAGAGGGTATCTTGGGTGATTTTTTCGCCAAGTATAGGGTATGTCTGAATAGCTGCAGGCTTATAACCAGCCATGATTTCATACAAGTGCCGTGCTGTCCAAGAATCAGTAATTTGGAATTGATATTAGAAATAAATCTGAAAAGAAAATATTTTTAAAGATGTATTATTTATAAACTTGTATACACAGATAAGATTTTTTTTTTTTTACTCTACATTCTTTCAGAAGGCTGTGTGGAAATTTGCAGACTAGTGACTAATAAATCTTTTAAGAGACCATCTAAAGAAATAGGAAGGGCTACTATAATGTGTGACCTACTCAGCTGTATAGACAGGCAGCATACAAAATGTTCTAACACCTACCTGGCTAGGCTGGACACTTGGGAACAAGTCTGGCTCATACTTCCAGTAGTCAAACCAGAGAAAAAAACATGCTGGCTTATACTGCTAATTTTTTGACAATTGGAAACATTAAGATAAAACTACAACCTCACAAGGCGTGCTAGTGCATGCCTGTAATCCAGCACTTGGGAGGCAAAGGCTGCAAGATCACCATGAGTTCAAGGACAGGACTATGTAGTGAATTAAGGCCAACCTGGACTACATAACAAGACCTTATCTCAAAAACATAAATGACAGGTATAAAAATTTAGTATAGAGGGGCCGGGGATTTAGCTCAGTGGTTCGGTGGCCTGCTTTGGAAGCGCAAGGACCAGAGTTCAATCCCCAGTACCAAAAAAAAAAAAAAAAAAAAAAAA